CAAATTATCTACATTATTACTTACAATATTGGTTGCTTGTGCGATGTCTGACCTACTACAAACCATGGCATGCATTAGACTTCCCACTACACTAGCGTACGACACACACAAAATTATTTTCCACTTCATCATCTATAGAAGGACACAATTTAGAAGATTTTTTATTAGTGATTAGCTAGACGAGTATTAACATGTTTAGAATTACCCATGCTAAACCTCTCTAACGCCTTCTCCATACTTACTTTGTGATAACCATAGATTTCCTTTTTCCATATCCCTATGAATTTCTATTCCAATGATCTTTTTAGTAGGACCTAGGTCCTTCATATGACAAAGGATAAGACTATCACCAAATTTTGAGAAAATATTTATACTCCAAAAACAAAAAGAGGTCAGTTACTCATTCTTAACTGGTACAATAGTAGTTACAATAGTGAACTCGGGTTTAGCCCCAGCTTGAACATGAACAGATTTATTTTGGTTACTAGAAGTCTGAATTCCTTAACCTTGTGGCTCTTGATCATTCTTACCTTATCTAGAAACTCATCCGACATGGTCACATTATCAACTACAAGGAAAGGAAACCATTAACTTCTTACCTTTCAACTAAAAGGAAAGTAGACTCAAAAAGATGTTGGTTGAAATTCTCTATCGCCTCTCGCCTCTGCCATCTCCAAGAAAGATCTCAATCTCTAGCAAAGCAATTTATCTTTGGCGAAACTCTATCTCTGGCGAAATTGTACTCTCTTCGACGAAGCTCTACAGTTAAGGTTTCTCCACTTTGAATTTTTGTTTCAGATCTAAGGTTTATTTTTGTAGATTTATAGTTTATTTTTACAGATCTATAGTCTATTATTTCAAATCTAGGATATATTGTTATTGAATTTAACATCTCTCTCTCTCTCTCTCTTTGTATATGCATTCGTGTGCGTGTGTGCGTATTTGGGTGGGTGGATGGTTAGGTGTGCGCATCTGGGTGGGTGTGTGTGGGTATGTGCATCCGGGTGGTTGGGTGTGTGCATCTAGTGTGTGTGTGTGCGCATCCATGTGTGTATGTGCATCTAGGTGTGTGTATGCATCTCTCTCTCTCTCTCTCTCTCTCTCTGTGGGTATGAATCTATGTGTTAATTGTTAATGCATTTATGTGTGGGTTAACAAGCATGTTAGCATCTGTGTGTGGGTTAATAAGCATGTTAACATGTTAACAATTCACAAGCTTGAAGCCTTTGGAATGATTGTTTTTATGAATTATGTTTATGAATTGTGAATCGAAATTATGGATTATGCTTATGAATTTCAATTGAATTATGAACAGTGAACTAGAATTGAATTATGCTTATGAATTTCAATTGAATTATGAATTGTGAATTGAAATTATGAATTGATTTATGAAATTATGCTTTATGTAACTAGTTGTGATTTGAGAGGGTGGTATAAGTATGAGTTTCTGATGAATGTTTGGAGTTGTTGGAAATTGTTATATAGATGGAAAATGTTGTTGAGGCTGATGCACATAAAGATGAGGATGTTGTTGAGGTTGGGGCTAAAAAAAACTAACAGGCAATGGACGTCTAAAAATGAGGCCATTTTTATTGAATTGATGAATTTGGAAGTACCATGTTAGCCTAAAAACACACCTACGTTTGAAAAGGATGTCTGAAATAGAATTTAGTGCAACTAAGCGCAAAGACAGGGTATAATTACAACTTTGAGTGAACTGATTACGACGTACTCTGTTATTTAGTAGATTATTAACAATGTGTTGAGGTATTGATACTTTGAATGTTTAACAACTTCTATTATTTTGGGTTGATGTATTGTGCACTGTTTTATGAGTTGATTGATATATTGACATATAAATAATGTAGATGTGTTTTAGTAGAAATTAATATAAAGGTAAAATATATGAATGAAAATAAAAAGGTTACCAAACATATTTTCTATTTTAGCTTTTAGGTTTCCTAAAACAACAAATGCATCCAAACATATTTTTTGTTTCAATTTTTAATCACAGAAAAAAAATAAAAAATATATTTTTTTTAAAACATAAAAACGAAAACATTACCAAACGCACACTTAAATTTTGATGATAGCGGATAGTATGTGATTTCGTGTGATATTAGGGATTCCAGGTCTTGGACCAGAGTTTCGACAATTTTTTGGAGCTCTGATTTTGATAGTGTTAAGAACATCATCAATCTGATAATTGACTTCTTTGAATTTCCAATCCATTTGATACATTCTCTACTTTCTAGTGAATGGTATTATTCTGACTATGTTTATCCCCTGAATCCCTTTTTGGGTTACATGGAGTGTTTTTTTTTCTGAATGAGAGGCTTGTTGTAGTTACTGCTAATGTTGGCCAATAAAAGTTGAAGGATTCCTAGAGTTTGTTGAACCAGGCCTTGGTTTTGTTCAGTCTGTCGTAGTTCCTCTCTAAATTAAGTACCCTTTTAGCCTCTTGTCGTTTATTAGCTCCAGGGGGGGTGTTCTTCGTCATGATTTTATCCTTTTTTTATTCCCTACAAATTTTGCCCTCTTGGGGGATCATCTCTAGTTACATCCATTGATCTAATAATCACGTTCCACTATTTTTCTTTTAGTCATAGAAAACGATAAAGATATCCAGTCATTTCTCATAGACGGCGCTAGATTGTTGGTGCAGAAATCTGCCCAACCTTTTTTATGCAAGATAATGACCTGGTCTTCTTGCTTCTTAACACCCTTCCAAATGGTTTGAATAGGTTTACGTAGTGTTGATTCAGCTCTCTAGAACTTCAAATGAGGATTTTGCAAGCTGGAAGAACTGAAAGGGAAGTTGAAGACCGAAGGGGGGAGCACCAAAAATCGACCCTCCAATGCTTAGTTATTATTTGCTGGAAAAGATCTAAAGGTATGTGCAAGGACTAATGTTGCATACCTTTGGTCTTCCCTTAGGCTCGCTTTTATAGTGTTTCAAATGAACAACAACTGAGGAGTGATTTCTAGGCTCCTCCATTTATTCTAGGAGGTTAAGTCTCCTTGTATTTGAAGAGTCTCTTCTCCCTTATCTTCGTAGGACTCTGCCATTAGTAAGAGTCTGATCTCTTGAGCAGTAGGGAGGAATCCTCCTGGAGTCTTTTAAATCCCAAATAAACTTTTTACGTGATTGAGATCCCTTTGAATGGTCTGCCTTCTAACGGTTTTTTCTCTCTAGATGTGGTGGTGACCTTGTCTTGGGGATTTTTTGTCTATCTAATTATAGATAATTCAATCTAGCTTCTTTATTCCAGGTGCTAGCTAGGTGGGAGAGCTGATTACTACGATCGATTTTGCTCTCAGCTTCTTCAGTACTATTAGCATTAATATGTGGTATAATTATTCAATAATAACTCATCAAATAAAAAAGTGAACTTCACTCATTCAAATAACTACTCTTCCATCTAAAGTAATAGCCACCCCATGTAAAAAGAGTAGTGTTATTAGAACTTAAAAATTGACCTAATTTATTTACATATTAATGATGGAGTTTTAATGAAAAAAATTCAAGAAATTATAATCACAATAACACTATTAAACCACATCAATGTCATATTATTAAATTAGCAATTTTTTAGATTCCAATAATATTACTTTGTAAAAAATAAAAATAAGTTCATCGTATCTGACAAGTTCAGATCCAAATCAGGCCTAGGACCAGTCCATAGGTTGAGTCCAAATCATCAAAAAGCAGGTCAGGTGTAGCTTATGACCATAGTCTAATTCAAAGTTCAAGAGTCTAGGAAAAGTCAACACACATAGAAGAATAATCATCACGATAGTCATTACTCAAATATAGTGTACATCCCCAATTATAGCTATCATATCTGATAAATTAGTAGATTGATCTTCACGTTACCGCCTTAGTTAGGACTTTGCGCCTATAAATTATAAATCCCATATACATGGGAGCAAATCTGACACACACCTCAGTTTAACCATACTCTTGCTCTCTCTCTCTCTCTTTCTCTCTCTTTCTTTCTCTTACTATCTTGTACTTTCTCATAAATAGAGTTTTTCGGTCACTGTTATCACCTTCCTTGGTTAGGTAACCGAAACCTAACCACTTAATCTTTATCTCTTATTAACAATTGACATACACCATATACTTGACTAATTTAATTGTACATAATCAATTTTATGCATTATCAATATCTATTTATTTATTTAACATTGATTAATTACACTAAATGATAATATTGAAGTAATGTAACCGTTTCATCAAATATTTATTAGGGCATTCATTCAATGCTTCACATATCAGTGACAAAAATAATATTTAATTCAGCCAAATGACGTCCTTTCACCAAGTTAAACTTGAAAATTTTGTCTCCAAAAAAAAATAAATTGGAGCTAAAATTAAAACTGGCAAGTTTCATTACGTTTTGAAATTTTTCGCTCTTTGGGTAGGGGTGTCAATTTTACCTATTGACATGAATACAATATCAAATTGATCTAATACAAATGATTAAATTAAAGTAAAATACGAATAACATAATTTAACAGATATTAAAAAATAAAAAATTAAATATAATATTATATGAGTTATTATAAAATTAAATAATTTTTTATTAATAAAAATGTTAACACAAATATAACTCGATCAAAAGCAATATGATAGGACGTTAAAATAATACAATCAAGATAACATCACACGGAAATAACATCGTTACCCTTAGCGTAAGATAAAAAACACAACTAAACAGATCAAGATATGTGCATGTTCGGTGAAACGCCAAGCTGCCACATATAATTACTTATCATGACATCCCTAATACTATGCAGCCACGCATTTCTTCCCCCATACCTCACACCATCCTCCTCAAGCTATTGCTCTCTCTCTCTCCCTCTCATATATGTCACCCCTCACCTTGCTCCCCTCTGATCAACACTTTCTCATCGTCTCATCTCCCCCCCCCCCCCCCCCCCCCTCTCTCTCTCTCTCACACACACACACACACAATAAAAGCATACCATCCAACATGGGTAGTGTCTGTGCTGAACAAAACAAGTTCCAACCCTCTCACCAACTATTCCTCACCCAAAAAACCCTCCGAGAAATCGACATAACCTCCATCGACATGTTCATGGACTCCCCAAAAGCTGACGAAACCCTTCTGCAAAAATTCCTACCATCTAACAACTATGATGATGATCATGATGATGACTCCGATCCCTATGCGTCGGACCACTTTCGCATGTACGAGTTCAAGGTCCGGCGGTGCACTCGTAGTCGAAGCCACGACTGGACCGACTGCCCCTTTGCTCATCCGGGCGAAAAGGCTCGCCGGAGGGACCCTAGAAGGTACCACTACTCTGGAACTGTTTGCTCCGAGTATCGCCGAGGCATCTGTACCCTCGGCGACAACTGTGAGTTTGCTCACGGTGTTTTTGAATGCTGGTTGCACCCGTCTCGGTATCGAACCGAAGCATGCAAAGATAGTAAGAATTGTAAGAGAAAGGTGTGTTTTTTCGCCCATTCGCCTCGGCAGCTTCGTGTTTTGCCGTCGAATTGCAATGAAAATGCTTCATCCCCGGTGAATTCTCCGGTTTCTGGTGAGAGGAAGTACCATAAGGCCAATCACTGTTGTGTTTATTGTCATACTTCACCTACTTCTACTCTAATGGGTATATCTCATTTTTCGCCTCCGCTGTCGCAGTCGCCACCGCTCTCGCCGATAAAAGCTCAGGTTATGAGTGGGTATTCTCCGATATCGCGATACAGTGATCGCATGTTGAGTGTTGATTCTTGTGGGTTGAATCGGTTGAGTCAATTCAATAATGGGTCTTTGAGTTACAAAGATGTGCTCACTGAGTTGATGAGCTCGTTGGAGACTATGAATGTTAATGAAGCTTCACATGCAAGTGATAAGAATAGGAAACTGTCTTGGGTCGATGTTAATTTCAATGGTGATGATCAGCAGCAGTTTATTCTCTCTCCTTCAACCCCAAGTCCTTCTGGGTTTGCACATTTTTTGGCTGGAGATTGTTCAAGTAGGAGCTTTGTTGATGATAAGTTCAATGAAAGTGGTTTGGCTGATCCTGATCTTGGGTGGGTCAATGATCTCTTGACCTAGAACATGGCCATGATGGAGAAGAAGATGATGGTGATGAGTATGAAAAATTGATGAAGATTTTTGTATCTGAAGAATTGGGCCATCCTTGACATGCATATGCAAAAGGAAGTGTATATATGTGTGATTTGGTGTTTTATTGTTTTGTTATATGTTAATTATAACTTTGTGTAGACGTGTATTCTTCGTGGAAGTACTAAAATTGTCGTCTTTGTCACTGTCGGTCTCTGAAGTTTTTGATTGAGTTGTATTTGTACGTTAAGAGAGATTCCTTTATGTAATGAATTGAAGTTTTAAGAAGTAAATGAATTATTGTTAACCCTAATGCGGAATATAGTTTAGAGACATAATGAGTTATAGTCATTGGATTGGAATTGGGGTATATTCAATTTGAGGGTCTATTAGCAAATTAGGTCATAATCATTAAATTTTGTAATTATGTTTTTAAATTATAATTTAATAATATAGCTCCAAGTTAATTTTGCTTAACCGCACTAAATTGTCTAAAATGCTGTTTTTTTTTTTTTTTGAGAAAGTTCAAATGTAGTTTTAAGCAGTTTAATTGATGATACATGATACGATTTATATGTGACAATTAAATTAAATGAGTTTTAAAATTTTATTTTGTCCAATTTTTAAAATTTTATTTCATCCTTTTTAATCAAAATCACCCAAATTAATCCAATTTCGGCACAAAATCTCCAAAACATAAATTCTCTCTGCCTCAAAATCACCAATGATCACGACTGGGTTATTATTTAGGAAAAAATTTAGATTAACGAGTATGATATTTCAAAAAATACTTTAATTTTATTAACAATGGGTGTTATTGAAATTTATCCTAAATCACTAATATGCACTGGCTAAACCATCATCATTGTTGAAGAATATGCACTTGAGATTAGCAATTGGCATATTAGCCACCTCTTTCACTGTTGGACTGTAAGATCATAAGTTTGAATCTTGTGATTCATTTCTCTTATAATAGTGTCTGAAAAAAAAAAAAACAAAAAAACAAACAAAGGGAGGAAGAATATGCAGTTGACTCCTATTACACTGTAGAAAGAGATTAACATGTCATAGCTCAGTTGTTGTGGATATAACATCAATGAAAAGCAATTTTTTTATTACTTGTAGACGATACAATGAGATCAACATGTCATAGCTTAGTTGTTGGGGATACAACATCAATGAAAAAGCAACTTTTTTATTAGATTTTTCTTATGCATAACGAATAATCATTATTATAGATCTCATAAATCATTATTATACTGAATCTGAATAAATCAAAAATTAAAAATAAAAACAGAATAAAATTCTAATGAACAAAAAAAATAAGAGTAGAATATGACGAGCTCAGATTCAAATTAGGCTTAAGCTCAATTTATAGATTGAGCCCAAATTATCAAAAGACTGAGCATGCTTAGTTCATGATCTCAGTCCAATTCAAAACTTAAGAATCTAGGAAGAATCAACGCACGTGAGAGAACAATCATTGGGATAGTCATGACTCCAATATAGTGCATATCCCTAATTGTAGATATCCTCCCCTATAAACTAGTACATTGACCCTCATGTGACCACCTCAAATATGGTTTTGTGCCTATAAATTATAAACCCACTACACATGGGTAGAAGACACACACTTCACATTGAGCATACTCTCTCTCTCCAACTATTTTGTACTCTCTCATTAATAGAGTTTTTCGGCACCCAGACCCAACCACCCAATCTTTTTTTCTTATTATTAACTGTCTCATTAATTACTTTACATTATACTCGACTGATTTGATTGTGCATAAATTCACTTTTGTTCATCATCATAATACAGTCTTCAAAGAAAGAGGTATATTAGAGATCAATTCTTATCTTTGACAGGGATTGACTCCCCTCATTTTCTGGTTGGAAGTATCAATGATGAGCAACTAGGCTAAAATATATTTTCCAAACTAGACTGAAAACCTAGTTTATATGATGATTCTAGAGAACGAATATGATTTTAAGAGTAAAAGCCCACAATTAAGCCCTATCAATTTATTGGATTTTGACTTATCTCGATCAGAATTCAATTTCAAAACAACAATTCAGGTGTAATTTGAAATTCCATTATAACTAGGAAATCCTATCTAAATATTGATTAATCTGATCCCAATGGATTAATAAGGCCAAATTTTAATAAATTATACCTCAAATTTATTAAATAATTACTCAATTTCATTTGTTTTTGGATATACTTGCGTATATAAACTAAGAGCATTGTTATACGGACCTTATTTAGGGATCTAATGATGTACAACCATTAGATTGGTTGTGGCTTCTATCTAACATTAAAACTCACAATTAATCCAATGGTTATATTGAAGCCATACCATTAGATCCCTAAATAAGATTTCCAAATATGGTCCAAATAGCATTTTCCATAAACTAAACTCGATCACAATTACATCCATATATCAGTGTGTTGGATTAGATTGGGATAAAAATACCAGTTTATTAAGAGAACTACTAATAGGTGATGTGGTAGATGCATGCATGTGTCATACTCTCCTAGCCCTACAGATGCAAACTCAAGTAGAGTTATGGCATAATGTACAAATCTATATCATTTCATACTTTGTATGAATTCCCTATGTTTCCTAGGAGGGATATTATCTGTTGGACAGCAAGGAAGGTAGGGCAAGGACCATAAGGGTCTGTATGGAATGATCCTATCTATGTTAGGGAATAATTGCAATGGTGGGTTAGGTGGATGATTGTCATAGATTCACAAGGAATGGTGTGGGTGTGGGGGGTGGAGGGAACAGCCCATGCTAAAATGACCTTTGCTAGGGTAAAGGGTTTGGGTCCCCCACATACCTTGGCAATGACTTTCTATGCCACCCAGTCACCCATCATCAAGTCACTCCAACTTCTATTTCATTGATGCAAATTGAATGGTACCTGTGGGACAACAGGCCCATACTTATAATGCTTGTGATTCACCTCACCTATGGCATGGTTTGATACCTCTTTGGTAGACATTGAATGGATTGCTTTGCTTTCAAAACTTCCAGTTAGGATTTTAATGCTTACTTGTGGTTGACACAAAACCTCCCTTGCACGTGTGAAGGTGCGTTAAAGTATATAAGCACACTTATGTTACATCATTATTAGCATTATCGAGGAGTACAAAAGAGAGTTTGAGAGTTATAGCCAAAGGGGAATCGGAAGTATGGACTCGTGGGCATAGGTGCATAGCCTGTTTAACTAAAAGCTCAGTTAGCAATAACACCATCAATTTGCATAACGGAGAATAATGCCATTGCCAGCTTTTGAGTAGGTCACGGAGTTTATCGAGGAATGGCCAAAGGGGAATGGTGGAAGGAATAACATTACGAAAAAGAATGCGAAGGAAAGTGGAAATATGAAATGGTTTGATGGCTTTCCGCATTGTTATGTCCGACCAAAGTACCATAATCAAATGTCAGTTGTCAAGATTTCGGACCAAAGTGCATCATATTATTAGGGATATTATGATAAGAGATATGATTGAAAAAGTCTATCTGATGGTCTCAAATTGACTCATTTAACGGTATTCCCTTTCAAAACTATTTACATTACACCATGTCAGACTTAGGTTACCCCTAATTTAGGATCAAATGACATCACACGTACTACAAGTAGTCCGCTCTCTCTCCTTGCCTATACTTTTTTTCTATTTTCCTATATACCTCTCTTAAAAATTTGTCGAATAACTTCGTCCCTCTTAACACGAACCTTGAATCCGGCCCAAGTATGACACAAACCCAACCTTGTTTGCATTGTAAATTAACTTTTGCATCCATAATGTTATCCTAAATAATTGCGTCCTAATAGCTGTGGCAATCTATTCTCAAATCCTTGCAGCTGCATGTGCTGATTTAACTTGACCTTGATGTATATCTGAATACTTCAAAGTCAGCACTGGTGCATTTTTTTTTCCAATTGGGCCAAGCATATAAGTCCAGCTTCCTGTATTATCCTTATGAACTTTATTGGCGATTAGCCCACCAACTGGGCCCACATTATCTTAAACAATCCAATGGTGGGCCAGCTGTTAGGTATAGTTCAGAATTTTACCATGCATAGCAAAACAGAGATCTGACTGAGTACAATGACAAGTGTTTATTTATCCTAACAATCGTTCATCCTATTAATGTCATGAACATGGATGAAAGTCTTGCACTAAATATAACTTGTTAGAGTAATCACTCTCATAATTGGATTAATCATTTACAATTATCATCTAATGGAATTCTGGTGGGCCCTAAGTGGGGTAGACAATTTGTAATCGGTCAGATCTAGACCATTGGATACAGCTTTAAATGGGAGAATAGAGACCAATGAGATGATGGATAAGCTCACTTTGAGTTTGAAATAATCTATCACGCTTGTAAAGGATCCCCTAAATTCCCTTATGATTATTATGGTTTTCTCGATAAGTCCATTTTAAGAATTCTTTTTTGATTTTCCAACTTTTTGGGTTATTTTTACATTGACGGATATTGACATAAAACCCTTTAAGTCATATCCGACCAATAGATCTGACAACCTTTTCGAAGTGAAATTCTTTTATTATTCCACGTGTACAAGATAGCAGTCATATCTATAGTTGTGACGTAGAACAGGTGGCAGCAGAGTACTTGAAATAGGCTGACCGGCGTGCCCTTCAAAGCACAACAAAAGGGTAAAAAATAATAGTATAGTCAAAATGGGTCAGGCTCAAAATTTAGGAACTAGTATCGAGCCAATTATCATGACTCATCTCTTTGCCCTGAATCCTTTAATTTTGGACTGCATTCTACCGTTTACGCCCTCAAAACCCCATTTTTTCCGTTTTAAAAAAGATTTTTGAAATTAATAATAGATCATAAGAGATTTTGAAATAATCATTGTTAGTTTCGTTAAACTTCAAATGATACGTACTTTTATGTTAATTAGGAAAATTGCATATTTTCATTTTTGATATTTTTCATAATTTTAGG